AAAGTAGGAAAATGACTTCTGAAAAATGGTTTCTGGAAAATGAGTCATTTTCCAGAAAACATTTTCCTTTTCCAGTGTTTGGTTGCATTTGGAAAACTGTTTTGGTGTGTTTGGTTCATTTTCTGAAAAATGAGTAGAATAGTATAATTAAATATTTTATTTTGAATTAAAAATTCATTTTATATTTTTAAAACAAAAAAAAAATAAATAAATAAATAAATTGGCTTCCGGCGGAAACCATAGCTATGGTTTCTGGCGGAACTGGGTTCCGCCAGATTTAAAAAAAAAAAAAAATAACGAAAGAGAAAGGCGGAAAACGACTTCCGCCCAAATTTGGCGGAAGTCATTTTCCGCCAAATTGGGCTCATTTTCCCCAGTCAACGGAAAATGTTTTCCGTTGACTGGATTTTCCAGGTGTAGCCAAACACCAAAAATTCAAAAAATGACTTCCAGAAGTCATTTTCCGGGTTTCCAAACATAGCCTTAGGGGGATCAATGATCATTTATTGTTTGCTTAGTGCAATATATATATATGTAACATGTGTCTAGCTACCAACCCAATTATACTGTTGGTCAAAAGTACCCAACACCTACATTATGAAATAGACATTTACCAACCCCTCCACTATCCATGTCTATTTAATATTTAACTACTTCAACACGTTGGCTTAATAAGACATATCCCAACAACTTATAAAGAAATGAGAAAATTAAAGATTATCTAAGTGATCAGGTTTGATTCATACTCAGATAACTAATAAGTCAATTATATATGATCTAACAATAGACATAGGCGACAATTTCACCTGTTTTTCAAGACCATACATCCTACTAGGGATAGCAAGGCTAGGTGTGGTGAATCAAGTTCTATACCACAAATATTACACCTCATAGCGACCCAAAAGTCAACCCCTTATAATGCCTATTAATAGTAGTAATACCCTATTATTTATTCATTTATGAGAGGAAATAGCTGACTTGAACTCCCTAACTATTGAGGAAGCTAAGGACAGTTTCTCTGTTTGAGATACAAAATAAATGACAGACCACCAAATGCCTTATGGTCCACTGGTATCGGTTGCTCTCTTAAGTAGGAGGTGATAAGTTTGAATCTTTGAGGCAAGTAGTGTGTATATGTAGGGTATTCTCTTCCTTATAATAAGGAACTGACGGACCCATTCTTTAATTTGCTCGAGTTATGGTTGCAACTTTGGGTTTCATGTTATATATTATATTGAGTTAATACCCAAAATCGTCTTCGACTATAGTGGTTTTTCTCAATTTCGTCCTAAACGACTTTGGTGACCTAATATCGTCCCAGACTTTTGTGTTTGGCTCAATGTAGTCCCAGACTTTTTGTGTTTTTGCTCAATTTAGTCCCTCATTTGTTATTCTGTCCATTTGGTGTTAAATAAATAGACAATTCAGTAATTTTAATATTGGCATCTCTTTACTCATAGACATGTGAAGTGCGAAATCCCTTTTTTTTTTTTTACGAATTACTCCCAGAATTACTCCTAAAACTGCGAATATAAAATTTGATTTGCAGGTCCGGGAGTAATTCTGGGTGTAATTCGTACAAGAAAGAGGAATTTCGCACTTCACAAGTTGAAAGTAAAGAGAGATCAATATTGACATTATTGAATTGTCCCTTTATTTAACACCAATTTGACGGAATAACAAATGGAGGACTAAATTGAGCGAAACACAAAAGTCTGGGACGATATTAGGTCACCAAAGTCGTTTAGGACGAAATTGAGAAAAACCACTATAGTCGAGGACGATTTTGGATATTAACTCATATTATATTAGTATCGTAATTAATAGTGTTAGGCTGTCATACTGAATTTATTTTATGAGCATGCATTGACAAAATTATTTATTTTATGAGCATGAATGGGTAAAGAGCTATTTTTTAATTTATGATGAATAATTAGTTGTAAATTCATAATTGGAAAATGTTTAGTGCTGTCAACAACTACCCTCCCAACAATTTTAATTTTTAATAATTATTCTTCACGTCATTATTGTGATGAGGAGAATACCAAACACAAGCTACGAATGAACGAGTGACCAGGTAGAGATTCTTAATGAAGCCTCTTATTTGCACGTCTCAAACATCCAACAACTAACAATATTCTTTCAAGATTCCAAACCCAAAAAATATATATATATATTAATTTCTCATATAAAAAAGTAATAAATTTGATTCTTGCTAACACCATTTTGATAAAGTTTATTATACATGATCTTAATTCAATTCCTAGTGTAATTTACATCTCTTATATAACTTGCATTGTTTACTTAGTGCACACCCTCGAATACAAAATATAATGATAAAAGAAATACCTAATAACATATACAACAATACAAAGTATATATCCATAGAAGTGCATAAAATTAAGGATGCTAAAGAATTAAGGTCGATGGTTTGGTAATCCACCTAAGTCAATTTTAAAAATTATAAGAGAAGAAAAGTTGGTTACAATTAGCTGGATGGTCGAATTCTACTTCAATTCAAATGTTAGAACATGATGGGCTTTTAATCCTCTTATTAGGAATATATCCCCTTATTTTTTTAGACACTAATGTATTTTTTACAAGTTAATATATATATATATATATATATATATATATATATATATATATATATATATATATATATATATATATACACTTTTTATTATATGGTTTTGTGACCACACCATTTGGAATGGTAACAGAGATGCCATTACACTACATGGTAGTTGACAAGAATGACATGAATATCTTATTCTAGTAGGAAAATACTTGGTGTACTCCTATTTTATACTCCGAACTTGTACTCCCTCTCACATGTTCTTGATGTAGATACTTTTCTGTGGGCCCACATGATGAAAATAACCAATCCTAGTTTGCCACCTCAGAGAGTAGAAATGAGGGAGTAGAATTTGGAAGTCCATGTAGGAGAACTCATTTTACTATTATTAAAAATGCATAAAATCTTGAAAGTGGTGATCGAGTGACCAAGTAAAACATGATTTTTGTCATTCTTCACCTTCCTCCCGAGGAAATCATTCCTTTCTTACAGTGTGACGAGAATGGCGTAGCTACTAGAAGGATTTATTAATCTCCCGGGGCCTTTGGCTCTTCGCCCCCCCCCCCCCCCCCCCCCCCCTATAGTGATAATTATTAAAGTCATAATTTTAAATGTAGTAAATGATTAAATATAATTATAATAGAATTAATTATATACTAACAATAGTTTAACGCTACAAAAGTAATTTTGTCCGATAAAAATAATATACAATATTTTTAGCACAATATACAACTCAATAAGTTTAGAAGTACATACATAAATCAATGGTACTAAAATGGATCAACTCTTGTAAGTTATTTTATTTAAAAGATTAGATTATAATATATTATAATTTTCAGTCTTAACGTGGTATAGACTTTTTCTATAAAGTAATTCCACTCTAGTTATTAACCATAATAATAGTTTGAATGGGTTAATACCAGTTGGGATCCTAGACTATTAACATTTACTTAATTAGGTCATTTATTTAAAAATTTACTATATAAATTCCCTTGATTAAAATGTTACCTAATTAGGTCCTTTGTTACCATTCTCGTATGTGGACCATCAAATTTAGAGACAAACTTGTGTTTTTTCTCTTCCATGACTTAATCCTTTTATCAGGAACCCATAGTTTTTGCCACTCCAAATATCAGTCTCTCGTTTGTATTGAAGAGATATAAAGGGTTTGAAAAGTATTTTAACCCTGAAGTTGGGAGTTTTGACTTATTTTTGCCCTTAAGTTAAGTGATTCAAGGCTCCAAGATCAAGAAAATGTAAGTTTAATTTAACCAATTTATTGATAAAAAAAATGAAAAAAATAATAATAAAAAAGAAAAATATCCTAAGTATAGTGCAACTGATGATTTCACGCAAATTTTTACCTCAAAATTAACATTTGCGAATCATCCATTTTACTCATGTATATGTAGTCATATCCTTGCCTAATGCTTTACCTTCAAATACTTATTGAGCTATTTATGCGTTGAAATGAGTTCAATGAACGAAGGAATTAGTGATAGAATAAATGTATTAGAAGACAACAAATTAACTTTTACTGCTAAAATTTTATTACAGCAATACTGAATTCGTAATTAAGAACTGAATCTAAAATGATGTCAAATTTTTTGGTAAAATATGATCAAATGATTAATTAATAATTAAATATAAAAATACATTCATCTTAGGATTAAATTTAGAATTAATTCCTTTTCATATTTAATTACCATATGATTTTTTAATAATATTGTTGTTGGTCCCAAAATGTTGAATTCCCAACCTTGAGGGCTCTCCCCGACTCGGCCCAACAGAACATTTGGGATGATGTAAATCATGATAACTCAACTCCCACAAGGAGCCCATTTCATTTTGAGAGGTTGCTCCTACACTGCCGGTGGTAAGATGTACTCGATCCTGTGTCATTGTTCCCAAACTGCACTCCAGTGATCAACTGAGCTGCTTATGCAGGCAACTTTTTTATTTATTATTTGATGAATTAAAGATTAATTAATTCAAAAATATAATTTTTATATAAATAATGTCATGTATATACGGAAAAGAGGAAAATTAAAATTACCCATGGTTATTTCTAGTAATAGGGTGGGGTTTGATTCATGTCACAGATGTTGAATGTTTGGGTGGGTTAAATTTCTTAGAATTTGATATTACGTCTCAAAATTAAATTGTTTCGATATATCTTCTCATGAGTTTAAAGACAGATTCATAGAATTCAGGATAAGATATGAACTCAAATAAGATATTTACCATATATTGTAAATATATTGATAAAAGAGAATAATAATAATAATAATTGTGGACGGACGATATTTTTTAAAACAAATCACGTAAACAGTGAATAATACGTGTAATATTACTGTTACCTATGTTCACCTGCCGATTTATGGGGCCCAGGTAGAGGTAGTGAGATCTACCATTTCACCAACTCCCCTGCCAAATCTCCAGCCTACATAAACCGTTCACTCTCCCTCCTTCAACCTCGCGTCTTCTTCCTATTTGCCCGTCGACCTATCTAAGCGGAAGAACAAGTCACTCCTCAGTCCTTCCCGTTCTATCTTCTCCTATAAAGGTACGCTGCGTCTCCCATGGACTACACGCTTCATTTCTCATAGTATTTCTGTTGCTCAATTCTCTCCGGACTCTCTGCTCAATCTACTTTCTTCTTCTTCATTTGCTTCGTGTTATTCTTCGTCTTGTTGCTGTAAGTATTCACTTGTGATTCAATCTATATAGGTTAGACATTCCGAATTTGTGTTTGATTGATTGATTTTTTGTGCTGCGTTGTAGTAATAGTAAGCTGTCGTGATTTTTTTTGTATTGGAACGATGATGAAACAGTAGATCTGATTTCTGGATAGTTGAATTTCCAGATATAGATCTGGATTGAGTCGTTCCTCTGTGTGGATAGATCTGATGATTAAACGTGTATTCGGCGTCTTGTGAGTATATATAAGCTGCATTAATGTGATTTACCGCCTGCATTGTGCGGTGTATTGTTTTTCGCCTTGTAGTATTGTCAATTTAGATCTCAGGCTTTGGAGTAGAAAATTCTGATGGAGTTGCTGTTCGTTACTTATACTTTGCATGGCGGTTTTGTTCTGTATTTGTCAGCTTTGTCATTTTGCTATATTGTTTGTCACTAGTTTGGATTTCCCATACTATCATTGGAAAACGTTATGCCTTGTAATTGGTGACATTATATTGCTATAATGTCACATGCTATCGTTCAATTGTTGTATAAAATAACAGCTGCCTGCTCTTACTCTGTATTGCCTAGGATCAGAGGAATAATATTTTTTTTGGACCAGTTTAATGTAATATGTCATGATTTTGCATTGAAAGCTTTGAACATTTTGATTACTGGGAAGAGGAGATAATTCTTATTCTATTTCTCGACCAGAAAAATGGCATCTCACATTGTTGGATATCCCCGCATGGGCCCAAAGAGAGAGCTTAAATTTGCTCTTGAGTCTTTCTGGGATGGGAAGAGCAGTGCTGAGGACTTGCAGAAGGTGGCAACAGACCTCAGAGCTTCCATCTGGAAACAGATGGCTAGTGCTGGGACCAAGTACATCCCTAGCAACACCTTCTCTTACTATGATCAGGTGCTTGACACCACTGCTATGCTTGGTGCTGTCCCACCTAGGTACAACTGGACTGGTGGTGAGATTGGACACGACACCTATTTCTCCATGGCCAGAGGAAATGCCTCCGTCCCTGCCATGGAAATGACGAAGTGGTTTGATACCAATTAGTAAGTGATCTGATTGCTTCGTAATAATGTCTTCATTAATCATTAATTACATACCTATTTACTTATGTGCTGATAATTTCATTTCATGATCCAGCCACTTCATTGTCCCTGAGTTGGGCCCTGATGTGAAATTCTCTTATGCTTCTCACAAGGCAGTGAATGAATACAAGGAGGCTAAGGCAGTACGTGATCCACAACTCTAGTCTAGTGTCATTCTTTGATTTTGTGACAATTGTATCACTGCCATTAATTTGCTTATCAAGGAAATTTTAATTAGTTTCTTGACGATCAGTTGTACTTCATCTTTTGCTGGTGCAGCTTGGTGTAGATACTGTTCCAGTTCTTGTTGGACCAGTGTCATACTTGCTGTTATCTAAACCTGCCAAGGGTGTTGAAAAATCATTCGCATTGTTGTCCCTTCTTGACAAGATCCTTCCAATCTACAAGTATGTATGATCTCTGTTTTTTATTAATTTATATGTGGTTAGGAATTAGTTCACATGGCAGCGCTAGCTTGGCATGACATGTTCATCTTAAATACAGGGAAGTTATTACTGAATTGAAAGGAGCTGGTGCTTCTTGGATCCAGTTTGATGAACCAAACCTTGTAATGGACCTTGAGCCTCAACAATTGGAGACATTCACTAAAGCCTACTCTGACTTGGAGTCAACTCTATCTGGTCTTAATGTTCTTATTGAGACATACTTTGCTGATGTTCCTGCTGCGGCATACAAAACCCTCACTTCTTTGAAGGGTGTTACTGCATTTGGTTTTGACTTAGTCCGTGGATCTCAGACCCTTGATTTGATTAAGGGTGGATTTCCTTCTGGCAAGTACTTGTTTGCTGGAGTTGTTGATGGAAGGAACATATGGGCAAATGATCTTGCTGGATCTCTTTCCCTTCTAGGATCTCTTGAGGGCATTGTCGGGAAAGGTATGCTTTCAAAAACATCCTTGAGAATCATTATTAATTTGTTAGTTCACCCTGAATAGTTCTTTTGATTATTTGAATTTTCAGATAAACTTGTTGTTTCTACCTCTTGCTCTCTTCTCCACACTGCCGTTGATCTTGTCAATGAGCCCAAGCTGGATGATGAAATTAAATCATGGCTTGCTTTTGCTGCTCAAAAAGTTGTTGAAGTGAATGCTTTGGCAAAGGCATTGGCTGGTCAGAAGGATGAGGTATAATTCCATATTTAAAAAAAAAAAAATCAAAATCATTTAAAAAGTCAAGATAGTTTTTGCAATATAAATCAGAGAAATTTGGTTACAAACCATATGCATGATTTTTTATTTATAACTTGTGTGACACTGTTTCTGTTTGCCTTGGATTTATAGGCATTCTTCTCTGCCAACGCTAAAGCCCAAGCTTCAAGAAAATCCTCTCCAAGAGTAACAAATGAAGCTGTTCAAAAGGCTGTAAGTGAAGAATCGCAGCTCCTCTGCTTTCTTTCTAGCAATATTTGCAATTAATAGTTTGTACTGATTTACATACTTTTCCTATTCTCAGGCTGCTGGTTTGAAGGGTTCTGACCACCGTCGTGCTACAAATGTTAGTGCTAGACTTGATGCTCAACAAAAGAAACTTAACCTCCCAGTCCTCCCAACCACCACTATTGGGTCATTCCCTCAAACGGTGGAACTTAGAAGAGTTCGTCGTGAATACAAGGCTAAGAAGTGAGTTGTTTTACTAGTTTTTTGCTGTACATCATTGGCATCATTTAAGCCTGTTCTGATAAGATACTTTTTTAGGATCTCTGAGGAGGAGTATGTTAAATCCATCAAGGATGAAATCAGCAAGGTTGTTAAGCTCCAGGAAGAGCTTGATATTGATGTTCTTGTTCATGGAGAGCCTGAGGTAACTTAATGTTATATATGCTTATAATACGTATTGTTTTTCTATTCTTATTTTGCATAGAAAGTTTGTATTTAGTTTCACTAAATTCGGATGTTGAATATGCAGAGGAATGATATGGTTGAGTACTTCGGAGAGCAGCTCTCTGGGTTTGCTTTCACTGCTAACGGTTGGGTTCAATCCTATGGATCTCGATGTGTGAAGCCACCCATCATCTATGGTGATGTTAGCAGGCCCAAGGCAATGACTGTCTTCTGGTCAAGTGAAGCTCAGAGCATGACTAAGCGCCCAATGAAGGGAATGCTTACTGGCCCTGTTACCATTCTCAACTGGTCTTTTGTAAGAAATGACCAGCCAAGGTAACAAAATGGAAGCTAAGGGGAAACTTTTCATTCTATCTATCTATGTAATGTTTTAACTTAATGCTGATTTGGTTTTGCTCCATATTTCCAGAAATGAAACCTGCTATCAAATTGCACTGGCTATTAAGAATGAAGTAGAGGATTTAGAAAAGGCCGGCATCACTGTTATCCAAATTGATGAAGCTGCCTTGAGAGAAGGTTTACCTCTTAGGAAGGCTGAGCATGCTTTCTATTTGAAGTGGGCTGTTCACTCCTTCAGAATCACCAACTGTGGTATCCAGGACACAACCCAGGTGCTCTACCTGTTATTTTTTACATGATAGTTGATAGTTAATAGTTGTTACTTGGGCTCAAGTTCTACTCTACTTTGCAGATTCACACTCACATGTGCTACTCAAACTTCAACGACATTATCCACTCCATCATTGACATGGATGCCGATGTTATCACCATTGAGAACTCACGTTCCGATGAGAAGCTCCTCTCAGTTTTCCGTGAAGGAGTCAAGTACGGTGCTGGTATTGGGCCTGGTGTGTATGACATCCACTCTCCCAGGATACCATCCAAGGAAGAGATTGCAGACAGAGTTAACAAGATGCTTGCAGTGCTCGACACCAACATCCTTTGGGTAAACCCCGACTGTGGTCTCAAGACCCGCAAGTACACTGAGGTGAAACCAGCCCTAGAAAACATGGTGTCTGCTGCCAAGCTCATCCGTACCCAGCTTGCTAGTGCCAAGTGAAATGGCTTTCCCCCATTCCTTTGTTCTTAGATTAATCAAGGATTTCTCTCTATTGCTTTGATTTTCTGTGTTTGGAACGAAACATTTGTGACCTCATGTACGCATAGTATGCTCCAGTATGCTACGCTATATGGTTTAATATGATTTTTTTACGGTTTTGTTTCCTATATGTTGATTCCCTTTTTATTTCTTCACCTTTTTTCCGTATCTCGCCTTAAAAACGAAATATATTTATATTAACCCCCCACCTAAAAAGCAGCAATACCCAAAATTGTAATGTAATTAGGGGATGGGGATACAGCCTAATCCTAATATTAGACTATGATTAGCCTATAAAATGCCTTTTGGCACAACCAATAAAACATCTCTCATCCTCTCTAAGCATCCTTGAGGTCAAGTTGGGATAATTAACACCAACAAAAGTTTGGCTAGTGTTGGGGATATACCCCTTAGCCCATAAGCATTGTCTAGCAAGGATAAGGCGAGCTAAGAAGTTCCGCAACTCGGAATTACTGGCTAAGAGACTTGGTTTGAATGCTTATTTAGGTGACTAAGAGCAACACATCAGTAATGTATTTGTAGAGATTTTTGATCACCATGGTAGTTATCCATTATGATTTTAATAAGAGTTATATGTAAGTTCTAAAACATTAGTAGAAAAAATAGAGCATGATTTTAAGTATTTAGAATGATTATGAGTTTTTAGGTGTTTAATATATTGTGATTTGATAGTATTACTAGTACTTTTCATAAAGAAAATTTTAGATTTAAGTCTTATTCCAATCAGAGTGTAACATAGTAAAACAAAATAATAATAGCGTGTTTAGTTCATGGAATAGGTGGGGAATCATTTCCTATTTAGTTTGTCTTTTCATAGCTGGGAATAACATTCCCGGAAATGAGTTATTCCCTTTGCAAGGGGAATATATATATATATATATATATATATATATATATATATATATATATATATATATATATATATATATATTCCCACCGCCACTAGCCCCACCAGCACCAAACAATAAAATATAATTCCTATTCTATTTCTTACATATTTCAATCCTTATAGAATATTATTTTTATCACCTCAAAATTCATTCCGTGAACAAAACATGCTTGTAAGGGTGGTAAGTGGTGTGAACGCGGTTGATGTGTCTCAAGAATCCTAAGATCTCTTTTGGGGGAAAAAGAGGGGGGACATAACTGGTCAAAGCCATGTAGTTTTGCTTTTTTGATATATAAATTAAATAAAACCACTGCTTTGTAGGCTGGGCTGCATGCTAGCATGTTTTGTATGGAAATCCAGGTGGGGGATCTCCTCTTTGCGTGTAATTTACAGCAAGTGAAAGCACATGAAAGTTGTAGCCAAAACATAGATTTGACATGTGGTTCTCTATCTGTTTCAAGCTTTGGAAAACACAAAAAGTTTTACCCATCAACAATTGATGCCAAAAACAAGATTTGAATGATGGAATGGATGCAACATAATTTTTTTTTTTTTTTTTTTGACAATAATTTTCTTATTCATCACAATTTTAATTTTTATTAATACTCTTTTGATGATTAAATTTATCATATGTTTTTTCTTTAATACAATTTACTTCTTTTATATGATTTGCAAGCTATTAAACAAGTGTGAGATTTACTCGTACATATCCATAAACAACAGCTACGATTTTCCTAGTCATTGAAAAAAAATAGTGCCAATATTAACAGATTAACATTTTATGAGATTAAACGTACAGTACATTTTTACAATATTTGTACCTCCATTGTAATAATAAAACCCTTTCTATATATATATATATATATATATATATATATATATATATATTAAAGCAACCAATGTGGTCATATATTAGAAATAAGCTGAAATAGAGTTAGGAGGGACAGAGTCCCAATACATAACAGAAGAATGATCAAAAGTTGTAGTAGTTAAAGTATGTGCTAATAAATTTTCAGATCTAGGAATAAAATTGATTAAACAGAAATCAAAGGTGGACATGTAGAATCTACAACTATCAATAGCATAGTCAACATACGAACGAACTGGTGCAGAAGAAGACAGATAATGTTGAAGTGTTAAACAATCCGTGAGAAGCTTGATGGGCCGTTCCCCACGTCAATCCCCTGAGCCAGGACAAGGCTTCCTTGCAAGCAATTGCCTCGGCCATCAAAGGTGAGAAGCAATCCGGGAGAACAGCGTTGAAGGCTGCGACAAAGCGTCAGTCGTCGTCATCGAGGAGCACCAGAAAAACAAAAATATCACATTAGCAGATAAATATTACCCTTAGCTTTAAAAAATATTACTCATTATATCATTATATGTCATGTCATATTAAATTTATTAAGATTGAGAAAGTATAGAATATATACTGATATACTACCTTGTAAAGAAAGTGTTTGAAAAAAATATAACTAGTAATCCTATATATAGTATAAACCATATAACATGGATATGGATTAAAGTTCAATTCAATAAGCAAAACTACAAGTGTGTGGGCAAAGAATAAAGCATGATTGGATATACCAAAACATAGTTGTCTATTGACCTTCTCAATTTGAGTCAATTAATTATGACAATCAAGACTAATTTATCTCAATGTAGTTTTTTGTTGGCTAGCGTCACAAAGTGAACTTCACATTCTGATAGCGACTACATGCTTTTCTCTAAATCAAAGACTAAGTACATCAATATCAATAATTTATTGGGAAGCTAAGTCTTTCAACTTTAGTCGAAAGTTCAATTAGGCACCTTAACTTTTAAAGTGCAAGTAAGTCCATAAACATGCAATTTTGATGCATTGAAACCCAAAACCCTAATTGTGACCGGTAATAGAAGGTCACTAGATTCCAGTGACACTCTGATCCAGCTTACACTGACGATGCTCCGAGGATTAATACCGGCAACCGGCGACCGGCGATTTCAAACGGTTGTCGGTCGTCACTTGCCATCTCCAATGGAGATGGCTTATTGTTGCCTTCTCCGGCGACCAGTGGTCGTCGGAGCTGAGAAGGCAATCAACTGCTCGCCTTCTCCGTCAAACAGGTCGTCGATTTTTTCCCAACCATGGCAATCAACGATGATTTAGGGCGGTCATTGGCGGCTAGCTGACGGTGGTCAACAGACAGTTTGTGGTGGTCAATAATATCCTGTTTATCGGTAATCAACAGGTTACTGGTAAATTGAATTTATTTGCTCAACTTTAATAAGTTAACTGCACTTTTTAAAAGTTAATTAGGATCTAATTTTATTTCGTGTAAAATTAAATGGTCTATTTGACCATTTTTCCTATTTTATTTTTAATATATTGAGGATGATAATTGAGCATAAGTTGATGGTGAAGCATGACAATAGGAAAAGTTTTCACCCATACAGGGCGGTGGAGCATGGTAGGTAGCCACAGTCGTGTGTGTGTGTGTATATATATATATATAAAAAGGTATTTTGGTGCGTGCAGTGGTTGTATTCAGTGGTCTCCCACTTTATTAATTTGATAATTGAAGCAAGGAGGGGGTGGGGGTGGGGGGGAGTGACAGTGGCATTGGCATGTCTTTAAAGGCCAAACCCTAACTACAAATGCACTGTCTTTGTCTGTCTGTGCTTAAAGAGCCTTCCTCTACCCAAAAAGCTCAATTTTATGAGAACAAGACAAATCCATCACTCCAAATTTTTTGCATTTCCTCACCTGTCTATCATGTGCTCTCTCTCTCTTCCACATGCACACCTCCACCTCATATGTGGCTAGCTGATGACTATCCCCTTCATAAACAACTTTAATTTTTCTTTCTTTTTTATTTGTTCATAACATCAACCTGCAGTCCCAAGAGGACATGATCTACGAGGTGATAAATCGAGTCTATGATAGGGTTCAAATTCTCACATTCAATTAGAAACGAGTTATAAGTGAATTAAGCTTTTACTCTTTCTTAACATGTTGATTCATTTAAGAAAGAAAAAAAGTATGTATGCATGGATGAATACTTAAATTAATTTTATTTACAGAATAACATTAAAAATGGTCATATCTCAATAAATAACTAAATTGTTTGAACAATCTAAAGAGAATTGATAGTTAATTTCGTTGGCACACAACCATATGACAATATTTTTCCCTCCCTAAAAACTAAGATAATTATTTTTTGAGCAAACTTCAGTTTTAGTCATTCACGAATAGCTATTGAGGTAATATCATATTTAGTCATTCTTATTTAATTTTGAAAATTAATAATGTAATTAGACAAAAGTAAATTAAAATAATAAAAATAGACATATATCTTCTTGTACAATACAATTAAATCATTATTTGCTCATTGTTTTGCCTTTTTCCGTATATATCTTTTTATTGAATGGTCTTGTCATTTCATGTGAGACTGAAAAAGGAAGCACAATAAGCCTTTTTTGTTACGTTATGTGCTTGTTTAGTTGTGTGTGGAAACTTATAAGTAAAGTGCGTGGTATGATATTTTACATTAAAATAAGATTACAAAATTTGAGTTGGTGAAATATGATTATTAATTTATTATATTTGAAGGTCATAAATTTAACTTTTGCTAATATCTTCTTATTCGAGTTAGTCCATCTTTATAGTGCAATTTATTGTTTTATACAAAACTGAAATTTATCTAATACATGCACACTCTTAAATAGTGCTGTAGGTTAGTCAAATTTAAAAATGGTGGAGTATGGAAGAGTGTGGTACAGTATTCGAAGTGGAGAATAGAATAGACGCTCCCGACCATGCTATTTGGTTAGGTATAATGTTGGCCCATTACTTTTAAGCTTTAACCTAGTAAACGATACATACACATATACATACATACATGTAGTGATTGGGAACTTGAATATAAGCTGGATCTGCAGCTAGCTTAGCTTTGCGTGTATAAATTCTACACCATCATTGTAAAATGATATGAGAGAGAGAGAGAAAGAGAGGATTATATTCCATTGAAGAAAGGAAAAGAGGGAGTTTGGAATGAAGACTGATCCAAGATCCATCATTTCCTCGATCTCATATTTCTTCTTCTTCTTGAATTCTTGTTTTCAGTGAATTGAAGATTATAGAGAGAGAGAGAGAGAGACGCCATGGATTGATCTCGGACCAGGCTTCATTCCTCACGCCTCGCTTTCCACTTTACACTCATACATATATACATATATACATGCATCACCACCTCCATCTTCAATTCCCAGGTTTGTTTCTCATCTCCCTTTTTAACAAAATTTTGCTGGGTTAGTTGGGACTTTAATTTTGATTTTTGATTTTTTTTTTTTTTTAGGAAGGGGTTTCTTAGCATTAACTTTGGAGGTTAAAGGTGTTGATTTGGTTGTTGCAAATTCGATTGAGAAAGTAATTTATTGGCCTTCTTAGTTTGAGTCGATCAGCTATGAACAATTTATACAGAATTTATTCCGTGCACATTCTCAGTATAGCTAATCAATCAATGAATACAAAGGTTTTAATAGTAATAATAGAAAATGTGTTGGTGTGTATCCATTTGCTAACTAATTAGGTTTTAATAGTAATAGAAAATGTGTTGGTGTATCCATTTCAGGGCTAACATGTATATTGCTCTTGATTTTTCATACGTTTACAAATTATTTTTTTATTTTACCCTTTTATTTTTCCTTTCTCATTCTAAATTGTAAATGCTATTAAATGTAATAACTTATCTTTAAAAAAAAAAATTGCATTTCTTTTTTGCTCTTTTATATATATATATATATATATATATATATATATATATATATATATATATATATATATATATATATATAGTGCTCATTATAATTTTACGTGTTAGATATTTATTTAATTGTACAATGTGGTACATTTGATTAGTATTTATAGGCCGGGATCATTTCAATAGTGCGTACGAATATAATATCTTTATTTATAGATAGTGTTCCTTGTTAATAAGTCGCTTTACTAGTACTAGTACTAGCTAGAGATAAATGAAAGATACAACACGTACTTCTAAATATAAAGTATATACTTTATTGTGAAATACGGAGTTCTATGTAGTGTAAAGAACCATACGTATTTCAAAAAAAAAGTATGGGGGTGTTTGGTAAATAGATGTTAGATTGTTAGTTGATTGAGGTAATGAGTTTGACTAGTTGATTTCATTAGCTGATTGTAGAAAGATGTCTGGTAAATAGTTGTTAGCTTATAGCTGATTACATGCAAAATGACTTTCTTAAAAAGCTGATCGAAAAAACTGCTTTGAACAGCTTTTAGAATTTTAGCATTTTGGAGCAATAAGTTAGTTGTTACAAAAAACTAATTAATCAAATATTCATATTGATTGTTTAACCAAATCAAACAACTAATAGTGGTCAAACAAGTTAAAATTAGTTGATAAGCTAACTATGCTACTAAACCGGGTCTATATATTTCACTTTATTACATCTCTTTTATTGTTAGAGTCACAAGATAAGCTTCACTTTTAGAGCACATGACACGTCTGATAATAGCGGCCGACTTTTCCTTAAATCAAAGTACAGTAACTAATTGAGACTCCTCCATTGGTTCTTTGTCGGATCCTCCAAGATGATTGGTTGGGCATTCCTTCTCCTAGGCAGGTGATTATTTACTGTGGATTATTAAAAAATAAAAATTACTGTGAATTATTGGCATAATTACGTTTCTTTTGAGCCCGGTCTTCTTCTTTTTTTATGTGATGAGAAAAATTTACAATCACTATTTGTTGGTATACATGAGATAAACCTAGCTCACTCCTATGCCCTAGGTAAACTTCGTACATTTTTTTTTATCCTTGTCAAGTTTTACATTATTTTAAAAATGGTGTACTTTAATATTTTTGAACCAAGTTGTTCTTACGTACACCAACCATTAAGTATTTCGTTAGTTAAGTATTAATTGCTAAAACAATTACGTAATCATATATACCTTGAATAATCACTTACCACAATAATTACGTAATTATTAAATATTATATTAAACCAAATATATTTTACTATAAAGTATCATTTACATATTTATCAATTATAATACTAATCAACACAAATAAACTTGAACAACATTATCAAAATGTTCACAAATAAATAAATCATTTACAATATTTTACATGGACTATTATAAGTACATATAGATAAAATATAATAGATTATATGACTTGTGTCATTTATTATTTATTTATTTATTTATTTGAATCATTTTAATATAATCATAATTTTTACATTGGGCAATTACTCTTGTGCATATAGAGACTAGTGTTTAAATAAATGGCATACATGCATTATGGTCCCATTGGTAAATTTTATCATTCGATTTACGTTATTTTTGTGGTTGGTATATGGCTTTTAAAGATTTAGATTAGGGTAGTCGCACAGACTTAATCAATATAATCACATTTAGGCTTAAGTGAGTATTGAAGAAAAGTGTACTATATTATGCAATTGTACTCTTATACTAGGGACTAGGTCCACCATACGGTCCATACCTATACATGGTGAATCATGTTTATATTATGTACGTGCAGTTAACACATTATGTATAATCAGGTAATAAATTATGTAACTATTACAATTAATAGATATATTATGTATATTTAGTTAACATATTATGTACCCGTCCGCAGGTATATAATATGTTAACTGTTGTCTACTGATATATAATTTGAAACAAATTTGAATGTTGTTTTAGATCAGAATTCAGAATGCAAAATATATTTTTTTTCGTGGTATAGTTGCTATTTGAACATGGATTACGTTACCTTATGCACTTATAGAACTCAAACAATATTATAGTTTACCAAAATGATTGTATGGTTGACCATATATATTTCTTGGCGTGTAGGCTAAGTACTTGATATTAATATTATTTTGCAAAATTATTGATATCATCATAATTAATAGGTAGTATTAAATGGACTCACAGATCGACCATAACATCTTCATTATATTCTACCAAATTCCATGGCCGCAACGGCAACTAGCACCGCCGCCGCGGAAATGATCATAATGTCTAAAATCGAAGCCGCTCATCAATTGATTCACCACGAAAACCATGCCCGTGTCCGCATTGCCGAGAATCTGCAAAGCAGAAAGGTTTAATTTATATAACTACATTCTACATTAATCTTTTCTATTTATAGTATTCTTTCCTTTTCATTGGCCGGCCTTGTACTACAAACCACTAGAATATTCCAAGTTTGATTCCTTATTGTAACTATCTATTAGTTTTATTGGACTGAATCGGTTAATTATAGATAACTTTTAAATTAGTATACTTTTAATAGTTCTTTGTTGGCTAAGGTTACAAGACAAGTTTCACCACAGCACACCTCTGGTATTGATCTTAATTTGTTGGATTATATTTATTAATTATGGTTACTTTTTTTACATTTGTTGGATTATATTTATTAATTATGGTTACTTTTTTTTTTAAAACAGTTGGATCGGGAAAGTTTACTCAGACAGTTAATGTACCTGATACCAATGGAGTTTCGATGTCGGCGGAAGAGGACGACGATGAGAATCCAGTATGCTCAACAGAATCTTTATCAGCTACCCATTCCAACAGAACAACAACTTCATAAAGAACCTGAATCTGTAAGATAATCCGACCAGATCTTCATGTTCTTTATGTTTTTATCTCAATGTCTTTATGAAATTAATTGAGTTAATTCTAGCTGAATTTTTTGTGACAATTTCAAACTTAATCATAGACTATTGTTTTTAATTTTGTCATTTAACATTATCATATTTTGAACACTTTTGGTAACTTTTACGGTGAAAATCTATTTTAGATAATGATATTTTTGTTTTTTCAAATTTTTTTAATTTTTTTTCAATGAATCAATTCTAGCAGATGTCCCTTATCTTTGCTGACAATTCTAAATTTAGTATGTATCAGACAATCTTTTTCTCCATTTAACATCCTAGAGTATCGTATTTGGACACTTTTGGTTCTTCCAATGACTTTCTCAGTGAAACTCTATTTTATAAAAGGGTATTTTTCAATAACAAAGAAGAGATTTTTTTTTTTTCTCTACCACTATAGTATCATAAGCATGAACTAAAACAATAGTGATCATACATTCATACTAAAGCCGACCAGGTGGCAACATCCTGAACCTTCTAATTGTGTTGGAAAATGATTCCTCCGCGTCTGAAGATCCTCATATACTTGGTATCGGCATTAACAAATTAAAGGATGATTTAGTTTCGGGTTGAAGGAGATGAAGACAAGCTGGGTGGGAAAAAAAACATGCGTAGAAAATTAGAAAAAGATTGAAGAGATTAAAAAAAAAAATGCCTAAAATATATTTTCAAGGAAAAAGAAAAAAAAAAAAACGATTGTCTGAGTTGTTAAATGACAACAAAAACGATTGTCTAAAACTTAGTTGAAATTACTATCAAAGATAAAGGACCTCCGATCCGTTGGAATTAATTCATTGAGAAAATAAGAAAAAAAAATTGAAGAGATTGAAAATACTCTTGAAAGGAAGGGATCTCCTCTTGATTTAACTCGAATTAATTTACCTTTTTCATCAGATTAAGACCCTGATTTACAAGATCCGCCATGGGACCAAAAGCATGGTGGAGGAGAAGCGGATTTTGAGAGCCATGAAACATGCACCGGACTTGCACTCGGATAAACAAATCAGGAACAATCATACCATTCAAGTAAGAATTTTTATTTTTTCCAAAAAAAGTTTGATGAATTATATATATGATTAAAGTTTTAAATCCACAACCTTAATCTACAACCTTAATCTCATTTTGGTATTGATGTTGGAACATTTTCTAGGAATTGTTAGGCCCAGTCTTTGTCCGCAGCCCAGCATACCATTAACTGATTAGCACACTGATAAATTTGGCCCAACTTCTCTTTCAGTTTTTTTTTTTTTTTTTTTTTTTTTTTTTTTTTTTTTTTATATTTTAAATTGTAAATCATACGAATATTTAATAGTTAACCTAGCATTTTGGGGCAGTTGGTAAATGAACTGATAATGCAATCCGTAGTCATGTTGAATGGAAATTGCGATAAGATGATCGATCTATAATTCTATTATGTTCTTATGTTACATTTCAATGAAATGGACAAAAATTAATGTTGGGATATGATGTTTGTGTTGTGTGCAGCCAACATTTGATGAAATACAAGCATTGAGGAAACAAAAGAGGGCATATAATGCTAATGTGGAGCAACTAAAAGGACTATTAGAAGCTTCAAATAGGGATATTCTGTCTCTCCAGAATCAATTGGATGACATCAATCGAAAGAAACAGCAAATTTATGAATACATTCTACAACTTAGAAACCTTAACATACACAAATAATCACTAGTATCTTCAATTTGTTAGTTTATTCCATTTTGTGTATAAGCAATGGGCTATATATTTCTCAAGTCTTATTATTGGATCCAACCCAAGAATTTTATGTACTATCCTAAGACACGTTTCAAAATTGAAGGATATGGGTTAGTTGATGATGATGTCTCAAAAGAGGCGAGTGGGTGGAGCATGACTCTTATACTTGAAGATCGCGAGTTTGATTTGTGAGCATATATCCGTTAATGTGTATCCAACTATCAGCTTAAGCTTTTAGTTGAGATGGAGCACATGCTTCAATTTGATTATTGTCAACACACACTTTCGGTTAAATCCGTTGCATAATGTTTTCTTATTGCAATTTACTTATTATGTGTGTGATATGCGAGCTATTACGCAGGAGCAAGATTTACTCAATGTACATCCTAAGATAGCGAATGCGAGTTTCTCTGATAAGAAATTTTTTAAAAAAATGTACATGACAAAAATAAGCAACTATAATGTTCTTAATTATTCAGTTATTTATTTGTTCTCGTAGGGCCCAATATTTTGTATAAATAGAATCTCGGAAGGGAATTTTGCAATATAGGGAGATTCATAGTACAGTTTATCGCCAAACACCTTGTGCTTAGATGATACCTCTATGGATCCCCTGATAAAAAGTCATAGGATTGAATATCGATGGTGGAGTATTAACTCTGTGGGCTGCAATATTTCGAGAAAGTATAGAACAAATACAGTTTATCACTCGCTATGAGTTTTTCTCATCAACTAAAAAAACAGTATAGGACAAATGGATCATGTCCAAAAACCATGTCACCATGGATTAATCTTTTGTAAACATATGTTTGTAAAGTGTCTTTAATGACAATAACACACACCCATGACCCATGCTTCTTATGTTTCATCGATGTTATATACATTTGGAAGTAGGGAAAACTACAGAGGGACCAAACATATATACATAGACCAGCTGCTCCTATGATCACATAATTATACATGAAAGTAAGAATATATTTTGTGTATGTAATCCACATTGCTCCCATGATTCTATCGCTTTGAACCAGGAAACATCCAAACACACCAAAAAAGTGATCGGAGAAACAATATTGTATCAATCTGATCTGTTCGTTCCCATTATGAATTGCCTCCTTGCATACAGCCTAAGTTAAGACAACCTTGTACCCAACAAAAAGTTGCATTTTCAATCAGTTCTGTAAAATCAAGGCACCATTTTTCATCTCTCAAATGTCAACTGTATGTGGCAAAATGCTATAGAAAAAGAGGCAAATAGACCATCAAATTATATATGAAAAATTGAGTTGACCCATTAACTTTAAAATGTTGTAATTAGACACATTATCTAGTTGATTTGATGCAATTAAACTCATAACTTGTCAAATTATTACAATGGATTACATGTCAGTTCTTAATAACAAATAAATTAAAAGTAATTTTATAATATAATCTCCGACGAACTCCGATGCTTCTCTATCCAAGTGGGCAAAGAAGCCTGCTGGCTTCTTTTATAAAAAACAAAATTGATGTTTTTTCTTATTTTTTATTTTTTTATTTAATTTATTACTACGTCAGCAATTTATCCGTTAGGGCTATTTGGTTTAATTGTATCAAATCGACAAGTAAATGTAGGAAATATTACAAACATAATTTCAGAACAATTCAAGCACAAAAAAAAAAAAGAAGCTACAGGTTTATAAATTCGAGTCTTAGCTTGTGATACTCACACTTTCCTTAAAACCTTATTTGCTAACTCCTAATGTACTAGGAGTGTAGTAGCCTAGATTTTCCATGATAAAACGAACTGCGATTTATAATTTGAACACTCAAATAATAAATCCAGCAAACTAGAACAAAGGTATTAACATAGAAATAATCTCTTGTTCAACCAAGAGTGTGGTTAGTTTAGTTTACGTAGGTTGCAGGTGCACACAAAAACACAAAAATAATCTCTTGCTAAATCAAGAGTCTGGTTAGTTTCATTTACGTAGGTTAGAGGTACACACAAATCAAACCTTACGTAGATCAGCTACTCCTGATATGCCTATTTGACCCCTTTTTCCCAAATAATTTTTTTTTTTTTTGGGTTTTTAATTGTCCACAAAGTGACTTTTTTTTTTAATTCAACACTAACAAAACTCAACAATGTAAAAAGTCATTTTTATTAATAATTGAAGGGCAAAAAGTAATAATGTGTAATTCACATTATAAGAAAAATTAAATGTGTCATTTTTTCCTAGAGAATCTATATGTTTTACTTGAGGGATATACCATAAAATTTCTCAAAAATTACATAGATGCAATCATTTTTAACTCACCCCAATCAAACTGCTCAAAATTTAAATCGAAGTCCTACGCTTTCGTCTTAAAATTATTTAGTTTTAAATATTTACCTTTTGACTTCTTCTTATTCAATTTGACTCTTTTTATTTTCAATAATTGTCCGGCTTCTTTTTATAATATCTTCTTATAAGATTAACTCATAATAATATCACCTAATCTATTGATAATCGATAAATATAAATAATTTTTTCTTCTTAAAACTTTATTAATAATGTTGCATGACGATGTAAACATTATAGATAAAGATAGGGATTTTTTTTGGGGGGTACTCTAACTTACTAATAGTATATGTTCAGTGCTCAACATAATGTCATCTCAGTGGGAAAAAAAATATTTTTTTAAAAAATAAAAACAGTTAGTTAGGTTGTCACGTACAATTAAGAAGTTTGGGTTTCTTGCATCTCATCTTTTGAAATTAAACTTATTTTATTTTTTTTATAAATTTATTATCAAATTTTTCAAATTTTATTACTTAATAAAATTGTGGTGGTTTTTCCGGCCTGCTTTTCCGATTTGTTTTATGCCGACGACGTTTGCCATAATTCTCATTTTAGACTCGGTCATAATAAGATGGAACCACTATATACAATGATTATATAATTAATAACAAAATTGTCCCAAAATGGGTGCCCAAGTGGGTACGTAGATCGAGCATGATGTTCATACAAATAAAGATAATGAGTTTGATTTTTGTCAACACTTTTTTAATCGAACCCGTTACCCAAAATCTTTTTAATGCGTTTTACTTCTCATGTGTGACTTATTACATAGGAATAGAGTTTACAATGTACCTTGCCTCAGGTAATGGCACAAAAAAATAACAAAATTGACGTAAGTCATTTTATGTTAACCAATTATACTTTTATCTTTATTTTCTTTAAATGTCTTTTTCTTCAATTCCTTTATTTTGTTTTTATGTGTTTGTTTGTATCGGTTTCTTCTAAATTATTAATTAGAAATAACTTATTTAATAGGAAAACATTGCTAATCGTCTTACATTCAAAATGCTTGATTAAACACCCACCAGTCAAAAGTAATTTGAACAGCATAACGCGAGATGGAGAGTTGTTTTCAAAGACTTTGGTAGAGTACGGATTACTTAAAATTCAATCAACAAAACCATTTAAATTTTATAAAATACAATAGCATTTAGGTCTTCAATTATGAATTTTTTTTCTAAAAAAAAAAGAAAATAAAAAATATAATGGGTTAACTTACTTTGTATTAAAAAAAATTAAAATGCCATTGTATTTCAGGACATTCCAACAATTTTTGTTAACAGAGAACAAAAAATGATCATGTCACAATAATACTAGAACCAAAGATGAATGTTCTGAAAAAGAATTAAATATTACTATCACAAATAAGTCTGGACCAAAAATGAAATTAACTCTTTCAATAAACCAAACCTATCATCCATCAAGATTTAAGACGGGTAGGGAAGGACTCGTGGAGTCGTGGGAGAAGACTCATTAACCATTCTTAGATCGCTTGTCTAAGCGAAGGACAACATATACCCATCCATCCTATTAGCAACTTTTTTTTTTTTTTTTTTTTTTTTTTTTTTTTTTTTTTGTGAAGAAGAAGAAGTTAGCAATTTTGTTTTACCCGGCCTCTATAAACAAGCTAAATGCCTAGAGCCCCTTTATTAGAAATTTAGAATAGCCCATGCTTCAACTTCCGTATTTAATTTGTACAATAATCACAATTATGCGGAGTAGGTGAATACCAACACTTGTAGAATGATGATTTTAAAGGCAATCACCCCTATGGGCAGCTCAACTGATCAGGCAAAAGTTGAAAAGAATGATTTTAAAGACAGACAAACTAAATTAATCAAATAATTGAATTGATAATCACGATATTTCAAATTTAAACTCTTATCAAAATTATCTATTAACTTTTTTATTTGAGATAATAAATTATGAACCATCTAAACTGATTTATTTTATGGCGTTGTTTTTAACTTTAAGATCGGAAGCCAACATCGATTCAGACATCACGGCGTCCATGTTACAGCTAGATTAATAATGCACGTGGAAAGCAGCACAGATTCGGACTTCACGCCGTGGTCTATGTAGCCGCCGCCGATAACTTATCCTCAATAATAATATTCATCTTAATTTATGTATTAGTCACCATAGCCACCAAATCACTCACTTCATGACTTTATGTGTTTAATCGTACGTTTACATGGTTATCATTTATATCTTTTAACAACACCTAGTGTTTAATTAAAATTTGAGGGAAAAGAAATTGTAATTCAGTGCAAAAAGTTACTGGAAACTATTAATTAAGAAGCCGCAGTGTAAGTGTAAGAGTAAGAGCGAGACGGCCGCGAATAAAAAAGAAATTCCCAGCCCACAACTGTCATTCCACCCACGACCGACAGCGATGGATGCTCCCAAGGAACTTATCCAACCCAAATTGCCAATACTTTTGTTGACTTTAAACACAATTCAATGCCTGCAGATCCAAAAGTTATTACGTCCCACGGTTCACATACACCCATCTGAATCGCGATAAAAATAAAAAATAAAAAAAATTATCGTCATTTTTGGTATTTTTTCATGCAATCTACTGCGATACATTTTTATAAGAGGTAATTATCAAAATAATCTCTTGACTATAGTGAAATTATCAATTTGATCCTTGACTATTTTTTTACTAATTAAATTCCTCAACTTTAAAAATCTTAACCAATTTAGGGTTAAACTACCTACGAGGTCCCTGTACTATAACGTTTTGTTTAATTTAGTCCTTATACATTTATTTTGTTCAATTTAGTTCTTGTACT